GTTAAGGTAAGCTCTGACCTTCACTTAACGTTACGGTTACGTTAGTCACCATCATGTACGTTAATTTTGTTCACTGTAACGTTAGTTAAATAAACTAAACTCATTATGAAACAAGTCTTAACTGTTTTATTAAATGAGGCTTATAATACAATTCAGTTGTATTCTTTTAAACTAACACTAACACAGTTCATATTGTATATTTCTCACTGGTGTTAATGCAGTGCTAACATTTACTAATGAGAACTAATTGTATAGTGTCACTAACTGTAGATTTTATTTTTTGGTGTTCAGGTGTAACGTTACCTGATAATAGCTGAAGTGTGAGGTGAGTAAATTCTGAGCACACAAATATAACCTAAATTCATTATCACAATCTAAACCTATATATATATATATATATATATATATATATATATATATATATATATATATATATATATATATATATATATAGGAGTATGTGTGTGTGTGTGTGCGTGTGTTAGGTTGAGTCTTATTCTACTCTTATTATATTCATATTTTTTTGCAGCCACAGCCATTGATGTTGAAACACTGATGCTACCAATCAACCATCGCTTGATTATTAAAGGTAATGTTGATGCCTTCCTCATTTTTATTAGATTTTTAAATGTCAGGTTTTTCACAGATTTGTTGTGAGCAGTTTCTTGTACAAACTCTTTTTCTTCTTCCAGAAGTTCCACCAGTACCTCCAGTAGTAGTAAATATTAGACAAAGATTTTTTTAAACTATAGTTTTTATTTTTATTAGCAATTTTACTGGGCATGTGTGTTTGTTTGCTTGGTTTTTAATAGGCAGAGCATGGAATGTCAACTTTGTTTCTACAAACAATTTTAATTATTCACAAACCTCTAATTTAGTCCTTCTTTCCCCCTTTTAGTCTTATTCCTTGGAGGGTCGAGTGGTCATGGGACCTCACCTGGGTTTCACAACTGACTTTGGATCTGGTCTGAAACTGAAGTATGCTGAAGATGCCTTTTGCACTCTGGAATTTAAGGTAATGTCTACAATAAATATTGTAACTGAGGGCTTGTTTTGGGGGGTTAAACAAGGAGTGTATAGGAGCACAAGTCATGACTCCCCTTGTCCCCTTGTTATAAAGGGTTGTGTTGCAGACACAATTTGTTTGTCTGTGCTGGAGACCAGAGGGGTAGCTGTCTTTAAAAGGATGGGGCTCTTTTACCATATGTGAAGTTACCTATTCAGGTGAGTGGAGTACATGCAAGTCATTGCAAATGCATAAATAGTGTGAAATTTTTACTGGGCAGCACAAATTAAGTGAAACTCAAAAAATGTTAAAAAATATTTGGAATATTTGCAAAAAACTTGATTGAAATGAATACAACACAAGTGCTGTATCACTTCAATCAAGTTTTTTTTTGCAAAATTTTCCTAATATTTAAATCATGAAAAATTAGCTTGATGCAAGAAACATCCTGCTAGTATTCAAGAGCTAGTGCTGTGATGCATGTGTTAACTTTGCAATAAGTGTGAACCCAGCATTAGATTATAGTCTGTAAACAGAAGGTGTAAATAAAATCAACTGTTTTAAAATGCTCTGCCTAGGTCATTAAAACCACTATTTGTTGTTGGACTGTTCTTGATTGTGTGTTTGTGATGGAAATGCTTTTCAGATGTTTTTGTTTAAATAATTGCAGTTTGACTGAGCTACAGTATTGTCAGCATGTTCAAACTGAGCTAACAGTAATTTTGCTCTGTAGTGCAGCAGTAGTGTCCCAGTAGTGTTGTATGAAGCTAACTGTTTGTCTGCCCTTTTGCTTATAGGTGCTTTTTCGGCACCAGTTTGGAGATGGAAGACAGACGAAGTCAAAGAAGCAGAGAAGACACATCAACCAGCAAGTGTGTAAAATTATCAGAAAAATGATTGACCTTGAATAGACGACTGCCTAATTTAGCAAGAAGTTTTGTCTCTCTCTCTCATGTGTGTATATATATATATATATATATATATAATGAGAGAGAGAAAGCGCACTCTGAAGCACTGCTTTTTATATGTATGCTAAATATGATGTCAGATTTTTTTATTAATATGTTCTTATAATATTTTTTGAGGCTTCACCTTCACCTTTTGAAAGTTTTCTGAAATGTTTACACAGATGTCATTAAGCTGTTAAATAAATCTGTAAAATGTATGTGTGTTTGTTTTTATTTTGATTTTAGAGTCTTCTCAGATCACCCAAAAATGAAGATTGTGTCGTCATTTACGCATCCTCAGGTTGTTTGGACACAAAGAGGAATATTTGATATTTTTATTCCTGTGTTTAACAAAAAAAATAATTTTTAACAGAGCTGGAACAACCTGAGGGTGAGTAAATCAAGATAGAATTTTCATTTTTGTGTGACCTAAAATTGCTTTGAAATTTTACAGCACCAAACTGTTAAATTACAGTAATCCGGGATATAACTGTAACTTTACAGTTAAATCAGGTATTTAAACTGCAACCTACTGCTAAATCACAGTAATCGTTTTGCAAATTCACAGTAAAATATAGTTAATTCTACAAGATAATACTGTGAGATCACAGTAACGGACTTTATTATTTACTGTAAAGTTACAATATATGGTTGTAATTTCACAATAATTTAATGTGACAAAACCACAGTAAATTACTGTGAACTACCTCACAATAATTTACTGTGAATTTACATACAGTAATTTACTGTGAAAGTAATGCAATTATTAGCCAGTAATTTACTGTGAATTTAAGGTCAAATTTTTTACAGTGAATATTAATAAACATTAAACTGGTGTTTTTGAATGTTTTTTTTATTATTTCTGTACCATGACCTTGATTTTGCTCCTTAAATGTTGAAAATTTTACTTTGCAGTTTAACAAAGTAAATTTTATTGACACATTTAGCAGTTTGAACCAATAGAGTCCATAAAATTACTGAAAAAACACTGCTATCGTATAACCATGTTTTTGTATCGCAATCTGCATGACCAAAGAAGCTGATAGATATATTGTTTGAAATGACTAAAATTGTCAACGTCACCTTTCAACTTCAAATTTAGAAATCCCACCTGATCTCATGAGGAAATTAATGTATTTTACATTTGTGAGTTTATTGACAAAAAATGTCCTACAAGTAACAACGTTTTTTACAAATATCTCAAATATCTTGTAACTCTTTTTTTCCCTATGAAATAACATGAAGATAATATATCACGCAATAAAGGTGATCTGTATACCGTGACACTAGTTCTGATATGGTTCAGAATTACATTTACAATGTACTCAAATAATACAAATGACAAAAACTCCATAATTAAACATTTATAATTAAAGTATTATGAACAATAACCATAACTCCGATGAAGCTTCCAAAGCCAAGGATGAATGCATATGCTCTCCAACTCAGCAACAGAACAGCCTCATGGTAGATTCTAATTTCCTTGTTAGTCACTTGTTAATGACTGTGTAATAATCAGAGCAGCCAGTAGGGGAATACAAACTACAGCCTAAACATTTATTCCTTAATTAATGCTTACTTGGACAATTAGTGTACACCCAACCCCATCTCTAAACCCAACCGTCATTGGGGTATAAGCAAATTGTACTAAATTGTACGAATGAGATCAAGCAGATTCATACGAATTAGCTAAATCAAAAAGTCACGAAATGCCAAGAGATTGTGTTGGAATTTCTGGTCAGGCAATGCAATTCACAAGCATAAACAAATGCAAAATAGGATCCACACAATTATTTAATAATGTGATTTTTATTTAATCGGTGAATCAATGCTAGGAATTTTTTAATCATATTGAAGAAAAGAGAAAACAGACAAATAGAGAAAACAGACAAATTTAAGTGTTTAATGTAGTTTTTTTGTCTTCTGCACCACCTTATTTATTCTGCTTAAGCACAGTCAGTTCGATTGAGATGTTAGGCTCGATTGAGCCATCAATCCAATTACTAACAAATTATTTGGGTGCATGTAAACATATCTAATGAAAGCAGCACATTAATATAGAGCTGCGATTACCAGTCCCTAACGTTCTTCCAGTCTGAATCAAACAATCAGTCATATATAAAATATTTAAAATGTGCTGTATATAAAACTGCGTAACTCTGCCTCACCTTCCTGTTGTTTTCAGACTCCCTTCTGTTTTGTTTCAATCTCATTCATTTTGACACCCTCCACTCGATCTGTATCTCTCTCTGTACCCTTTAAGTCCTGAAGTGAACGTCTGACGTAACAAACGATTCATCTTTCAGTAGTAATATACCTTTGATCTGGGCCTTATGAAACATACGTGTCTCTCTGCTGTCTTCTTCACATTATTACAGTGGGCAGTCGGTGCGCTGTATCAGATTTTTTCTTGCTCCGTGAAGACCTGTGTTCAGAATGTAGACTGAGTCTCCCAGGCTTTTCTGAAGCTTCAGTCTTAACGGCTTTCTCGGACATGCTTTGATCACCGCTGCCATGCTGTGCTCTGGCTTACATGGGCTAATCAATGCGCGCAGTAGCCTTACCCTGCCCTCTGACCTCTCTGTACTACAATTAGCCGTCATTCTGTGACCCCTGCCGCCTACCTGTCAATCACATTCAGTCCACCTGTACCACACGTCCACCATCAGTTACCTTGTGCTCCTGTTTCCTCACAGCCTGTCAGTTATATCCAAACCTCCCATTTTAAATTCAGCCGGTCAGATTGTCAGACCGCACATTGTTTTGTCTTGATGTGTTGTCTTGTAATGTCCATCAGGGTACAGAAGCCCGGCAACCCTCCTCCTCTTGTGTCAGTCTGGGTTTTCTCTCTCATTCATGCCCACATCAGCTGCACTTTTCAGATGCACTTAATTATTAGCTTTGTGCCGACAGCTCCAATGACACTTGAGAAATTAAAGGCGTGTTTTCCGGCTGCTTGTGGAGAGTTTTTTTTTTCTTGCCATAGTTGTTCTGCCTTTCTTTTTTTAATTCTGTTAAATCTTTTTGTTAAATTCTGTTTTTTAAAGGATGGGAACTTCACCAAAGCCCCGTCTGGACCTTCTCTGGAGAATGTGAAGAGAGTGGGTCAATCTGCATTCGTAGACTTCGGTGAGTATCTGTAAATCTCCATGCGCAGTCTAGTTGTGTTTTGTTTGGAGATGGTGTTACGTGTATTCACTCAATAGCAAACTGGCTGTGATTTTTGAGATAATTCATGCATAATATTCTCAATTCTAATGCAGTTCAGAATCTTAAAGTAGCCCTGAGTTTATAAGTGCATTGCATGCGAACGCGGATTGAACGCACACACATGGCGCCAAATTGAATATTAGCTCCTGTGGGATCCTATTAAATATTAACAATACAAATTTCCCCTTTCCAAAAGCATCCCACTGATAGCAGGGATGACACTGGCGGTGAAATCTCACATAGCATAAATGATTGATAAGCAAAGCGAAATGACCTAAAAGATTGAATGTGTTCAGCTGAGCTTCGTCTCAGGAGCTTGGCCTTTATATTCAAAGCATACTTATCTGACCAAACAAGAGCCCTCCTCTGCACTCTTTAATCTGTTTCTTCTGATCTCTTTCTTTTGTCATTTTGGAAAATGTCACTCCAAGCTGTTATGGTGTTTTCACAGCAAAGAACTTCAAAGGATGCCAGTTTTAAGCAGGGTGGAGGTTTTCATTATACTCTCATCATGTTGGGATTCTTGTTGAGGACTGTTGGCTTTGGGGTTACTTTTTGTTTGAAATATACACTTTATTTTTTTGTTTGTGTACAGTTATGTTTCAGTTGCTTGATGTACAGTTACAGTGTACTTGCTGGGTTATGTAAGGTAACTAGTACATAAGTTAAAGGTGCAGTAGGTGATTGTCTTCAGAAACATTTTTGTTGTCCTGATTGAAAGTCTCTTTACATTCCAATAGTAATGATTAAAGTAAATGATTCAGACTGACAAATCCCATAATTCTGATAAGTAGCCCAAACGGTGTCAACAAATGTAAATTTGTACATCTGCGCACCCAAACCTAGCCTGCTTTACTATGAAGTTGTTTTTATATTCACATTGGTTTCATTTTTGAAGAATGACATCCTGTGAATCACTCCCTATATTGTTCACCATGTTACTCTGAATATTCGATCTGAAATAGCATGTAAGTATGGCTTAGTAATAAGTGTAATTCCTACACCCTGCCGGCCAACCACTACAGTAGTCGCTTTAGGACAAAGTGCGTGAGAGAGTGAAACCAGCGATCCTTGCAATATAATGAAATATTGCACATTATGACAAGTTTTGCTTGCTGCACAACTGAAAACTTGCTAGATATTATACCTTTTTTTTGTTTGAAATTGTTGTATTATAGAGTATTATAAAGTACTATAACGTTTTTTAACTGGCGAATGACATGATCTAGTGGGTTTTCACTGTCATCTTTAATGTGCAATTTGGCAGATCACCTACTACACGTTTATGGTTAAGTTTAGGGGTGAGATTATTGTTAGAACCTAGTTGTTACCCAGTTTATGTATTGAAAATTTTAAATACATATTATGTACATGTAAAATGGAACTGTAAAATGGTGATATAAAATGGTTACAATTATAAACAAATTTCTGCTTGGGGGGAGACAACTGAAATATAATATTATTGAAGGCAGAGCAACATTTTCATTGTCTTTCGTTTAATGTGATGTACTAAAATAGCCAAAATGTGCCTAAAATGTAAAAACGTAATAATATTAATTATAATAACTGATAAAAAAAATAATACTACCAATAATAACTGTGATGGTATTTCAAAGATGCTAAAAAATACTAGACGCCATATAAGACTCCAGCTGGAAATCTAGCCTAAATATATTGCTGTTATAGTGAATATTTTCAAGGCTAGCATTCCTTTTATCTTATCATCCTGTTTTTATACTTTTATACTAATTAATTAGCCAAAAACTATTCTTTTAAACTTTTTGTGGGAAAAATATCTCACTGTCATTAATAGACTTAGAATTGAAAATGTAACTGGCAATAGTTATATAATAATAAAAAAAGAATACTGAATTATTTTAGTGAACACTGTTCTGCAGGTGAGCTTTTCAGTATGTGGGAACGGGAGTGATTAAATCAGTAATATAAGAAATGCAATAAATATCCCTTTGTTTCACAGATATACAAAAGATTGCTTTTGTTTCCTTGTCTTCAGTTCTTTTTCATTTTTTTAACACATGTATTGTTATGTTATTTGTTACGCAGCAGTTAAGAAAGCATCTAATTCTAAATGTATACATTTACCAAATCTCTGAACATTATAATAATTTATTTCAAATGTCATTGAACCAAAGTCTCTGTTAAAAAATCTACAGGCTTTCTAGGACAACCTAGGGAGTCATGGGAGGTTGCACTTTTTAAATTATCAGTTAAAAGCTATTCAGACATTGGCAATTAAAAAAGCGGTGAATACATGGATGCCTTTACAGCTTTTTAAAGGAGTATTTAAGTTACTTAGAGAGTAACTAAGCAAAGACCATTTTGACCATTGTGTTATTTCACTCAAAAATGAGAAATATGTTATGTTGTTAACCGCCCTCATGTCATTCAAACCCCTAAGACCTTCATTCATCTTCATTGGGCAAGATATTTTATTCATCCTCCCTACACAGCAAGGTTCCCGACTTGTTCAAAGTCCAGAAAGATACCCAAAAAACATCCTCAAAACAGACCGTATTATTTCAATGGTTCAACTGGAATATTATCAAGCTACAAGAATACTTTTGTGTGCGCATGAAACAAAAATAATGACTTTATTCAACTGTTTTTTCTCTTCATTGTCAGTAAATTGGGCGTGTCCATGAGCCACACGCGACTTTCTCTGCTTAAAACAATGCACAGGCTTATCTAAGGTAATACATCAGCAGACAATTGAGCGTGACACATGAACATGCACCTTATACTGACAACAGGGGTGGACTGGCCATAGGGAGCACCGGGACATTTCCGGTGGCCTGGCGGTCTATCTGACCTGAAACCGTGATCTCTGTGACTGACACTGAGAAGAAATGGTTAAATAAAGTGGTTGTTTTAGTTTTATGTGCACACAAAATGATTGTCATAGCTTGATATGACCACTGAGGTCAAATGGTATGTTTTTTGGATGTTTTTAGTGACTTTCTGAAGGAGTTAGGCACCTTGCTTTCTATGGAGGACAAGGGAGCTCTCAGATTTAGGTTTTGTAACAACATAAGGGTGATTAATTAAAAACATATTTTAAATTTGGAGTGACCTAATCCTTTATTTCCGTTGTATATAATATTTATTATAATATAATAATTATTAAAATGATAATATTTATACTTATTTATAGTTTTTGAGATATTTAACAACATTCTCCTCTCAAAACCTGGAAATATATCCATACTAAAGATCTGTTGAGTGTCACGAAACCTCTGTTGGTTTGTGTTCTGGTGGATAAGCATAGCTGTTTGCATAGTACTCATGAGGCTGTGACATACATCGCCGTGTGTTGTGCCCTCTAATTAGGACATCTGAAACATTTGAGATGCATCATCTACGACCTTTGCTGCTTCACCAAAATGATGTCACAGTGACAAAAAGGCGTGCAAAGTGCAAGCTCGGGTGAGTAGAAAGTATATAGAGAGCGAGCGAGAGAATGAGCTGTAGACTGTGATTTAGGATGATAAATGATGTTGGGGATGGAAAGAGACGTGCATGCAATACGAACCCTATTCTACATGTATGTGTCGTCTTACCCCGAGCCAATAAAATGGTTCGCACACAAAAGGGCTTTATTGGATTAGTGTCAGGCTCTTGTTTTTGCAGACGGGACCGTGAAGATCTTTAAAGATCAACATCTGTCTCCGCTTTGTCCTTTTCCATCTATCTCTAATTCTTCACCTGGGTTATTTTTTTCTTTCCAAAGCTTTTAACTTCCCTTACCACATGCGCATTTCACCACCAACTAGTAAGCGCACAAAGGCATCAAACTGTCTCCAGCAATTAGTTGTAGTAGTGTGTGAGTGTAGGAGCCTGTAGAGTCATTATGAGATGATTTGGTGTGAGGAACAGGCTGCAGCTCCGTGATGGTGATTGTCTTTGACAGGACAGAGCACGGCAGCGGACGGGCGCTGAGGGTGAAGACAGATACACACCGGCTCGAGCCTCATTCTCACCCACACACACACACACATACACACAGTACAGGTGAATCATAGCGATGCTGCTCCCATTAAGTGGGTGGTAATGGGAAGCGAATGGCTTCCTCTGAAGCCAAGGACACATCCTGACATTATACCTTCGGCTGGCTTGAGTGGGCACTGAAAGCACAGGTCCCGCAGCGTGTCGCTTTCTATAAACGATGGAAAGCTCAGCCCTCGAGGACGTGGGCTTGCTTTAAATGGTGTAATTGTACTGATCATCAAAGCTGTAGCCTTGATTTATGCTTTTGTCCTCCCCTTTTCACTGCTAATGTCTGAATCGCCACTTAATTATAAAAAAGACATTGGGTCTGCGGCACCTGCGAGCCTAGATGCACGCTAAATTTGACCTGCAGTTGAAACGGCGAGAAAAATGGTGAATACGAGGTGCTTCAAAGACTCATTTCAAATGAGCGGAATGAAAGGAAGATGTTTTGCGGTGAAAGGTATACGTTGTGCTGAAAAGCAGAGTGGAGGTGGGAGGAAGGTGGGAAGAGAGGCGAAGTGAGTGAAGGAGGGAGGAAAGGGAGGGTCTGCTTGTTTGATTTGAAATGGGTGTTATTCTGATCACACTTCTGCCTGTCAGTTATGGCACAGCTCTCTTCTCCGTCCCGCACCTAAGTGGCAGATCAAAGATACACCCCAGTGACCTTCCTCTCTCAGCTCGTCTCTCTCGCTCTCTCTGTTAGTATTCTCCAGTCGTCCTTCTCTGCTCCAAACACTCCAGAAAAACAGTTACAGCAGGCACTGCAAGAGGCTGGTGATCTGGTTGAAATTGGTTGTAGAATAATCCACTCAGAAAACGAAGGAAAACGCAATCTTGTTCGGTCGCAAGAAGGTCTTGGTAATGATCTCTCTCACCTCAGCTGCTATAACCTGATCTCAGAGCAGATATTT